TTGTGGTCCTTGATATTTTATGTGTGAATAAAGAATCAGAGACCAGAAAAACATAGCAGCATATTTTGTTTATTCATATCCAAAAAGGTAGCCTTATGGATATTTTTTACGTGGCTAAACAGTTTTGATGTAAGATTTAATAGTTTTTTGGCAAAATTTGCATTTTACAAAGTTTTATTTCCCTCAATTTTCGTAAAAACCTTCCATACATGACTTTTCTTTGGAGGCAACAAAGAACAAATCAATTAATGTTTATATTTTTCTATAATTTAATTTTTGTCTGTAGTGTCACATCACAATTGAGTTAATTTGTTTACAACTTTAAAAACTAAATGAAAAATAGACTAAAGAAATGATTTGATACAATACATGTAAGTACTGCTACATAAATTATCGAACAACTACTTACTTCATTATAATGAATATTAGATTTATTTATTGAGCATTTATAAGAATAAAAAAGAAAATATATTTATTATTATGAAATGTATTATAATATAAAAGATCATTATGTTATGTCTTAAATATAAAACATTGTCACAAACGAGTAGAGGTTAGGTTCATAAATATAATAGAAATATAATATTACCTATGTTGTCAACTTTGAACTAGCAATCTGGTAATGCTTTAACAAAGTTAAGTTAAAAGTTAGAGTAATTAATTGTAATAGCAAGTAAAAGTCTTACATGAACTTGTCTTAGGTAAACAATTAAAATAATGATTTAATTGCGTTACCGCCAAGCAGCAAATTATCGATGTCTCTATAAATAAATATATCAATATATCGAATACAATAAATATTTGACAAAACATCGAATAAAGTAGATATATCGATGTTAAGTGAATATACCTAATCTGGTCACGCTGCTCTACTCTATGCTCAGAGTTGCCAACTCTACGTCATTTTAGTATTTCCTGCAAACCTACGAACTTCAGTCCCAGAATCTATGTATTTTTATCAAATTTAACAAATTTTCCAAATAACATAACTCATTAGGCTGAAAGGGCATCATTTCCAGTATTCGAGAAAAAAATCAAAGAACATTCCGTTTCATACTAACGTATAATGGCCTTGTCAGCTAGCCACACAATGAGACAGTGTGCACTCCATAGAGCTGTGCGTCATGTGAGTGTGTAAAACGAAACGTCTCGAATATTTCAAAAATAAAAAAGGCGATTCGTCGCAAATGTTTCCTATATTGACCCAATTTGCACAAAAATTAACATTGCCACATAGCAGTGTAAATGTTGAGCATCTGTTTTCTGCAATCAATCTGATGAAAACGAACGTCAGAAACAAACTTTCTAACGACACGCTGACAGGCTTACTTTTTACGAAAAGTGGCTTAAAAATAAACCGCGAGCCTATCTAAAAACACAATTAAACTAATTAATAACATTTTAACAATATTTTATTTAAAAAAAATGTATTAATTTAATTTGCCTGATGATAATGAATAATTGAATTTAAAAAAAACATTTGTTTTATTCAGTTTCTTCGACCCTAACTTCTTCATTCACTTCATTTCACTCAAAAAAAAGTACGTCGATCTTCGACTTTCCTTGTGCAAAATTGTACTAAATCTACGTATTTTTCTAATCTGGCCTACGCCCACCTACGCCTTTTTGAAAATCTGAGTTGGCAACACTGTCTATGCTTTATTTTTATTCTTCTCTAGTATATAAACAGTAATCTACGTAGACAGAGAACTTGGACTACTTGCATAGTGAAGTAAATTTCAACTACGTTTAGTAATAAAGTACATAGGTATTACTTGTGTAGATAAATTATTACTTAATTCTTTTTTATTATCAGTACCTATCTAACAAAATAATGAAATAAATTCACCTTTCATAACTTCCTTCTAAAATCCTTCGGTAATTTTAAAGAACGATATATCTGAAACCTTTTTAGGGTATTTGGCATCCATCCAAACAACAATTATAGTAGGAGCGACGTTTTCCCATTACAAATTATCAAATAGGTAAAATAATATAAATAACACTAAACAAAGACAATTTCAACAAGTATTTACAAAAAAACTAATTACGTAAACACCGTTAAAAAAAACTCAAAACAAACATTCAATCGCCTACAACGCGCTAGCCCCGACTGCGTATGTTACCCTGGGGGCCTAGCGATTGTAGGTAATTATTTCACGCAGGTAGCAAGAGTGACAGAGGGCTGGTAACAGTTAGTTCAGTATCTTTTTTTTTTCAAGATTAAAACACAACCTACATAAATACAGCCCACTAAGCTCTCATTCATTACACAATAGTTTCTTTAAGTTTATTAGTCAGACAGATATCACAATTTTTTAGTTTCTTCTTTCTTCACCAAAGCAAATTATAATAAATAATTAGTCAAATACAGTCCACTTAGCTCTCCATCAACTACAATACATATCAATGATAATCGTTAATAGCAGTGTTCCATTTCAGGCTTCACGTACTATTTTCTAATTTTATAGCTAGTTGTGGCGTAAATTTTTCCTCACACTTGTAACCCTAAATATAGTGACGTATTTTTTGTCTCTTTCTGCGACACGCTATGGCGATGTCTATAGGATTCTCTGTCTACGGTAATCTATGTTTATTCTATTTAGCTTGCTACATATTTATTTATCTATGATTCTATTTCTATTTCCTTCGGCGTGCGAGTCGGCGTTTGTGCAACCCGTCAGGGTAAATGTATTCTGTGGTGTGCAAGAGGCCACCAAAAAAAAGTTTGCTGTTAGTTTTTTATAAAGTAGTAAGTATTAAGTAAGTAGTAATTACACAGTTTTTAAAATTTATTTGCTTATATTTCGTCTCGTAACAATTTATATTCAATTTATTTCAAATAGTAGGAACTGTATCTTTCACGTATGAAATAAAGTAGAAGAAACTGAAAATGAAATATAAAGTGTGAGTTATTACTTATTACCAAAAACCATGTAAAAACAAACAAATTTTAATTCTATACAAAGTCCAATGCGTGAAAGGATGATGATGATGGTGATGGGTACTTACCTATGTACCCTGGAACCTGGTCCCGGCTCCAATTGAGATGAACATGATATATCGTTGGAAAGGACTATTTGTGATAATAATAATAACCATTGCGCTAGTCCCAATTTGTTGTCGGATCGGAGGGATCCTCCCTTGAAAGGTATTATTTTTAATGTGTTTATGGTCAAGTATTTCTATATATATATATATATATATATATATATATATATATATATTTATATATATATATATATATCAACTCTCAGACAATTTCCTATTTTAGCATAAGTAGTAGGTATTATTATTCATTATTATAATTATTAATAAATATATTATTATGTCTACTATCTTGGTAAATAAATTCGTTGTAGGTTTCGTCATTTATTGTATTTATTTTACAATAACCAGCAATTTTTTCAAACAGCATCATTATTTAGAATGATACTGTTTCAAAACTTGCTGCTGCTTTAGTAAAATGCTGGTTTAGTAAAACCTTCGTGTCTAGCATACACTAAATACCATACAATATGCGCATAGGAACCAACCATACGGCGGCCTGTTATCTATGCACTTCGCTTGATGACGTCAGATTCAATCTCTAGCTTCTCTAGAAATATCATATTATATTTTACCCTACTTTGTGTTTCCATTTAGTTTTATGATTGTAAATATACTTTTTTTCTATAAACAAATATAATAGGTATTTTGTGCGTGCGTGTCGTTTTTTGATTGGTAGATTTAATTAAAAAACCATGTTTATGTTTGAATAACAAATCGGTCTTATGAATTTGCGACCGAAAAATATTTGCGCCTCGGCTGAGACGTACGAAATGCTTTATTATTAAATTTTTAAGTATAAAAAATCCGCGTTCTAATATAAAGCTTAATTAAAAATTGTTTTGGGAAACATGGACAAGGTGGGGAGAAAAGGAATATCTTTTACTTGGTTATAGAGGTATCTATAACCAAGTAAAAGATATTTTATAATTTATGTTTGGTTTTAAATGAAGTACGGAATATTTCCTCCATTTTTAGGGTTCCATAGTCAACTAGGAACCCTTATAGTTTCGCCATGTCTGTCTGTCCGTCTGTCCGTCCTCGCTTAATCTCTGTGACTGTTAGCACTAGAAAGCTGAAATTTGGTACCAATATGTGTATCAATCACGCCGACAAAGTGGTAAAATAAAAATTGGAAAAAAAATGTTTTATTAGGGTAGCCTCCCTATATGTAAAGTGGGAAGTGATTTTTTTTTTAATTTCAACCCTGACGTGTGATATATTGTTGGAAAGGTATTTAATAATGAATAGGGGTTTACTAAAATCATTTTTTGATAATGTCAATAATTTCGGAAATAATCGCTCCAAAAGTAAAAAACAATGTAAAAAACAACCCTCTAACTTTTGAACCATAAGTTTAGAAAATATGAAAAAAATCTGAAAAGTAGAACTTTATAAGGACTTTCTAGGAAAATCATTTTGAACTTGGATGGAAACAACAGTTTTTGTACAAACTCATAAGTGGGAACACTTATTGTGACAGACGGGAAACTACGGAACCCTACACTGAGCGTGGCCCGACACGCTCTTGGCCGGTTTTTTTTAAATATATTCCACAAAATCATCACTGCGGCACAGTCTCGACTGTCTGCATGCCGAGCGCATGCAGAGATCGAGGCGCGTAGGCATAGCTCTCGCTTCGTCCGTTTGTATGAAGTTGGAATACTGTATAGATAAAAAAATTACCGTGGCGAGGTGCAGAGATATTGTGGCCGCGTTAGGCCGGCCACATATATACGGAATTCCGTTTCGAGATTACGTTTCGGAATTCCTAAACGGAACGAACGGGTCGGCCAGACACATACGGAATCCAGTCGTCCAGACTTTCCGATCAGGTACCTCGCCGCATTCGGTCGCCTGCGACCCAACCGTTGAGTGCTATTGTTCGGTCGAGCCTATGCGCTCCCAGTGCGATAATAAGAAGAAAGAAGACAAGGACAGGACATTTTTACCCGCGTGCGCGAGTGCTTCGGTGTCGTTGTGCTCCGTTACGGCTGCCAGGTGCATCGGGCCGCCGGCCCATTGTTCTGTTTCGTGTAGTGCTAGTGTAGTGCCCCACGTTCTCCGGATTTCCAGTAAAAACTGTAAGTAGTTTTTATTACACACCCGCTGCCTCAGAGGCAACTATTCTATTTTTAATTTCTGTGTTCGCTTGTCGCACTAGGCGACAGCTAGGTACACACCCTAGCGTACCAACGCGCTAGTTGTATAAGTGTTCGTTTAGGCACACACCTCCCCCGCCGAAAGGTGGGGGGGCTTGATACACAAGTGTTTTAACCACTGACAAGATGGCGGCTATAACTATAGCCGAACTCGCCGACTTCTTCGGACAAGTGTGCCCCGACGCTTGGGCTAAATTCCTAGCCCAACGTAACTCGTCCACCGCTGAACGCCCAGTAGTTCGTATCGACGATCCCGCTTCACCGAGCTCCGGCCGCTCGACCCCTGTGTCCATCGACACAGTCTACGACGCCGCGTCCCCTGCGCCTTCTGCGCTCTCCACCCGCGGTCCTTCACCGTTGTTTTCGGACACCGAATCAGGCTCCGAAATGGATATTGAAATTCACCGACCTACTAAACCCGATGACGAAGGCTTCACCCTAGTCTCGGGTAAAAAGCGTAAGCGCACCGCCGCGAAAAAGGGAAACGAGCCTCACTCGGCCCCTACGTCGCCCAACGCCACTCCGGCAAAAAAAGTCGCGCCTTCCGCGCGCAAAATTACCGCGATTAAAACCGCGAAACCGACTCAGGCCGAACCTAGAAAGGAGAAGCCGCCGCCACCTATAATTTTACAGGACAAGTCGCGCTGGAGCAACCTATCCAAGTGGATAGACTCCAAAAAAATATTCTGCCCCAAAGTTCACAATGGACCACAAGGCATCCGCATCCACGTCGCAACGACGGACGATTTCCGCGCTTTAACTGCGCATTTAAAAGCTCAAAACTTGAGCTTCCATACCTACTCGCTCGCGGAGGACCGTAATCTCCGTGTTGTAGTTCGCGGACTCCCTAAAGAGCTTGACACCGAATCCATTCTAAGAGATCTTAAATCGCAAAACCTGCCGGTCAGAGAAGTGCACAGGATGCACCACCCTACAGACAAGAAACGATACTTCGATCTCTGTCTTGTCATACTGGACCTGTCTCCAGAGGGCAAACAAATATATAATATAACTAGAATATGCAATCTCACGGGGATTGTAGTAGAGTCCCCGCGTAATAGGGGCATCGTTGGCCAATGCTACCGATGCCAATTATACGGCCACTCGGCTAAGAATTGTTTCGCCAGGCCTAGGTGCGTCAAGTGCTTAGGCGATCATGGCACTACTGAGTGCCCCCGAACGCCCGAGACGGAGGGCTCTCCAAGCTGTGTTCTGTGCGGCGAAGAGGGACACCCAGCGAGCTATCGCGGGTGTTCCAAAGCGCCGCGTAGGAAGCAGAATGGAGGAGCAATCCGGCGCGGACGTGCGGGCATGGGGTTGCCCGCACGTCCGCGCCGGATTGCTCCGGTATTGCATTGTAGGTCGCGCCCACGGCATTCTGCCCCATCGATCGCACCAATCTCGGTGCCGCAACCCGCGCCCGCTCAGGCTACAGCCAAGCCCGCCCCCGTTAAAGGGACTTCCGGGCAAGGCCCAAGCCTTCCGGTGCCTTCAGCACCTAAGCCCAACGCATGGGTTAAGCCCCCGGCGATAGTCAGCGCGGCCGCTTCACGGCCAGTGCCTCCTCGCCAGGCCCAGAAGCCCAAACCCGCCCCTCAGGCACCGTCAAACATCAACACTGACCTTTCGTTAGTGTTCAACTTCGCTAGCAGCTTTAATGTGGCCGAAGTCACAACTCTAGCCCGCAAACTTCGCGAAGCTAATTCGATTCAGGATAGGCTCAATGCTATCATTGAGCATCTTAGTCTTATCCAAGCGATAGGTTCGTTCCAGTGCGCCTAAGCGACTCTTTTCTTTATTTTTAACTAAAATGGAAGTAAGACCTGTAGGTAGAACCAAGCCTAGGTCTCTGACTGTCGCGTACTTTAATACAAACGGTATCAAAGATCAAAAGGAAGAGATCATTTATTTTTTACGCAATCATGACATCGACATCATGCTAGTGCAAGAGACCTTCTTGAAACCTAGTTTGAGCGATCCCAAAATAGCTAATTATACCCTAGTAAGAAATGATAGGTTGACCGGACCTAAAGGCGGCACCTTGATCTACTTCAAAAGGTCCTTGCAATGTGTACCGATAGATACTCCGCCGCTTACTAACTTAGAAGCGTCGGTCTGTAGGATAGCACTCACGGGCCATCCGCCATTAATAATTGCATCAGCATACCTGTCTCCCGTAAAAAGCATATTAGATTCCGACATATCGGCTCTATTAAACCTAGGCCCTAGCGTATTAATCGCAGGAGACCTAAATAGTAAACACGTTAGCTGGAATTCTAACGTTAACAATTCTAACGGAATAATTCTAAGAGACCTCACGGAGAGACTTAACTTCGATGTTATCGCTCCCGAGAGTCCAACACGTTATCCTTTTTCAATCAACCAACACCCGGACGTTCTTGATATAGCATTGCTAAAAGACGTCCGACTTAGTATTAATTCGATAGAGACTATTATCGAGCTAGTCTCAGACCACAGGTCGGTCGTTTTACAACTGGGCCGGCCGGCAGGTGAGGTCCCTCAGATCAAAACTATTGTCGACTGGCGTAAACTTGAGGTCAAACTTAAGTCTACGAACTCGCTGGAGGAGGCCGATAGGGCGTTTAGCGCCCTTTCGACTCACCTCACATCAGCGGTCGAAGATTGTTCCCGTAAGGTTCGTGTATCGAGCGATCAATACACGAAACTTCCGGCGGATGTTCGACGGCTGATTAGAGCGAAGAATTCCGCGCTTAAAACTTACGACCGCTATCGCACGGAAACCAATAAACTTCGGGTACGTACTCTACAAAACGAGATTAAACAACGAGTAGTCGAGTTTAGAAATGATAACTGGGATAACCTCTTAGAAGGTATCGAACCATCCCAAGACGCCTTCTGGAGATTAACAAGAGCTCTTAAAGCCGACAAATCCGCACCGATGCCGCCTCTCGTGAGGCTGGACCGCCCCGATCTCGCCCTTGACGATCTTGAAAAAGCCGAATGCCTAGCAGACAGTCTAGAGTACCAGTGCACGCCATCCACCGCACCGATAGATCCCGTTCACCTATTAGAGGTAGAAACGGAAGTAGAACGTAGGACTGCGCTGCCACCAGCGGGTGAACCTCTCGATCCTGTGACAGTAGATTAAGTCACCGATACAATTAAAAGTCTTAAAAATAGATCAGCCCCTGGGCCAGACGGTATCAGCAACAAGGTTATCAAATCCCTTTCGGTGCCACTTATTTGCCTCCTTGTAGGAATATTTAACACCTTTCTCACGAACTGCTCCTTCCCGGACATCTGGAAAGAAGCAGACGTAATAGGGATCCCAAAACCGGGTAAACCGCGTAATCGTCCCTCTAGCTACAGACCCATTAGCCTGCTCAACACATTGGCCAAATTATATGAGCGCATTATTCATAAGCGTCTCCGTCATTTCACCGAAACCAACGGACTCCTCCCAGACGAACAGTTTGGCTTTAGAGCCAATCACTCATGCACTCACCAGATTCATCGCCTAACAGAATACATTCTGTCTGGCTTCAGTCAAAACCCGTTAAGAAAAAAGTCTCGAAACACGGGAGCCCTCTTCTTCGATGTCGCGAAGGCGTTTGACAAGGTCTGGCACGACGGCTTGATTTACAAGCTGTACAAACTAAAAGTGCCCGATAGGCTCGTGCACATCATACGAGCTTTCCTTTCGAACCGCTCTTTTCGGTATCGACTGGAGGGAACTCGTTCTTCGAAACGTTTCCTCAAGGCCGGGGTTCCACAGGGCTCCGTACTATCTCCACTCCTTTTCACACTCTTCACGAGTGACATCCCAAAAGACCCCGTAGTTAACACCGCTCTCTTTGCCGACGATACGGCACTCTTTGTGTCAGACCCCAACAAAAATAGACTCGCTATAAAGCTCCAAAAAACGACCAATCGCCTTGGTGAATGGTTCCGCCTATGGAGAATCGACGTGAATCCCGATAAAAGTGTAGCAGTATACTTTCAACGGAATTCTACAGGAGGTTCTAAACCCAAAACAATCTCTTTATACGACCGCCCAATCCCTTGGGAAAAATCGGCCAAATATCTAGGCGTCACTTTCGACTCCCGCATGAGTTTCAAGACGCACATAAGTGTAGTACGCAACAGAGCCAAGTCAATAATTGGCCGTCTACACCCTCTCGTTAACAGCAAGAGTAAACTGTCCCTAAGACACAAACTCCGACTGTACAAAACCTGCATTAGACCAGTTATGTCCTATGCAAGTGTAGCTTTCGCCCATACATATAAGACCCATATTTTAAAACTCCAAAGAGTACAGAACTTTTTCATCCCTAAAGCCACCGGCGCACGGTGGTATCAACGGAACTCTGACTTACACAATGATTGTGAACTACCATCTATCTCTGAATATTTTAAGGAGATGTCCCAACGCTACTTTGATAGTGTAGAAACCCACCCTAACCCGCTAGTGACAAACGCAGCTAACTACGCTCCGATAGCAAACGTCGCGTCCTATCTCCGTAGACCGCGAAATGTTTTAGTAGAGCCACCAATATCGCTCGATCCAGTCGACCCATGGGTCGCAGGCACATCACACAACGACACTACACCCACACTAAATGAGACAAACACAAATAGGACAACGAATGGGACGCGTCGCACCCGCAGACGGGCACGACGCGTTCCAGCTTACACCGCGTACACACCGTACACCCGCGTTCCTGGACGGTTCTCACCGCCAGAACATCGACCGACACGAGCTGAGCAGTCAGAAACGGGGGTCCGCACACCCCCCCTCGGACTGCGGTTAGATAGCTCAAAGAAAAACGCCTAAAAGGCGACATGATGATTGATAACAATATC